CATCATGTTCTGCCGCTCTCGTCCTTTGTAAATTTTCTCTCGTTTCCTTCATCTTCGAAAGTTGTTCCCTTAAACATCTATACTCTTCGAGGAATTTCTCCAATTGCGAAGCTCTAAAATCAAATTCCTCCAATCGTTGACCGGCACGCGAATAATCTCGGAGCCCCGATAGGTCTAATAGCGGAGTGGCGGACGGAAGAGTAGACTGGTCTCTAGAAGGGGATGCTGGGAGACTGGGGTTACGACGCGTTCGACTACCACCCACTGATAAATCTAAAAAACTACTAGATCGACGACTGGCAGCTCTCTGACGAGATTTCTCATAGTTTCTATCGTTAAAATTAATAGAATCTCCCCCTGAGCTATTTCTTCGACTACTTAAAAGTGGACTTCGACTATCTCCGTCTTTTCTTCGCGGTATCGTATAAAAGTAGTAGGGGTCGTGTTTTATTTCATTGCGTAGGTAGCTGGTTGTACCGAGAGCGCTCATTTCTATAAGATCTGGATAATTTTTCTCGCTGTCGCTTCCAGACAGGTCGTTGTCTAAGCGATCACGGGTCCGTGGTCGGGAACAAGAGCGGGAGTTGTTATTGAAACGATTGCTATCGGATAAAATTTCTACGTGACCGCTCAGCACTCCCGTCGAATTGGAGCTTGGCATCGAGTCGGTGGCATCAGTTCTGAAAACAATAAAATATACAGTTATTTTCTTTACCGTTTAATTAATGCTTTCAAATATTATCTGTCCCCATTTAGTAAGTTGGCATCATTTTAGAAATATAGTTATATTAGAACCTGACTTATTAAATTACATACTTGAAATTAAAGTCGAAATAGTCTCCCCCGTATTAGTTCAAAAACATATTTTACTTATAATTTTCGGTAAAACTAGACTTGCTTTTAAAAAAATATTTTTAACAACGTTAACGTACGACACTTTGCCTTTACTTAGGAGTCCGAAACATGTATACTTTATAGGATAAACCAATTGTTATACAATCGTCATAATATTAATATAGAACATATTGTTTTAGTCAAAAAGAAAATTGTTACTACTTATTACTAACAGGAAAGACTAATTAGCACAAGTACCTTATGTTATAATTGCTAACACGAGGTATATGCAAATCTTGTTCCGTGTCCCCAGCTCTCCTAGCTGGCTCAAACTTATTTCGTCGCCAACTAGACTCCATAGGGGGTGTGTGAGGGGCATCGCGATCCTCTCGTATAACTTGCCCATACGACTCGAATTCTTCCTCCGGGTCATGGGATGGAACATTCCTGTAATCTCCTCTTTTACGACTTCCGTTTTCGGAAGACACAACATGAGGTAATTCAGACACACTTTTGTAACTAGCCTCAATCTTTTCATAGTTATTATCGTGATGATTAGGCGTCACGATTTGTTCATTCCACCTATCCAATTGTCTTTTCTTCCTAGTTTCATACGCACATAGTCCTATTAAACATGAACTTAACACTACCACTGCAGACACTGCCATTCCCGCCATTAACGCACGTCCTCCGAACCCTTTCGTCTGAGATTTTTTCTCTACAGTCAAATTTAATGTCACTTCTGCTTTACCCGCACGATTTTCCGCACTGCACATGTAAAACCCGGCATCTTGCATAT